ATCAACCAAAGTAAACAACCGCCTAAACCAAGAATGGTATTTGATGCGGCAACTAAGATTGATGGAGTTTCTTTAAATTCACAATTATTAGCAGGACCTGACATGACAGAGTCAGCTCTTGATATAAAGATGAGATTTAGAGAAGGTCCAATAGCAATAACCGGGGATATTCAGGAGGCCTTCCATCAGGTGAAAATCAGAAAAGAAGATCGAGAATCACAAAGAATGGTATCTCGAAAGCAACCTAATACAAGATTGGACATCTATGAAATGCAAGTAATGACCTTTGGAGCTACTTGCTCACCAGCTTGTATGCAATTTGTCAAGAATGAAAATGCTAAACAATTCATAAATGAAAGACCTAAAGCAGTTGAGGCTATAATTAAAAATCACTATGTAGATGATTATTTAGACAGCTTCAACGAAGTGAAAGAAGCTGTAAAAACTGTATCAGACATCATTCAGATACATGATAAAGCCAACTTCCGAATAAGGAATTTTATATCAAATTCGAAGTCCTGCTTGAAGCAATTACCAAATGATAGAATCTCTCCAATAAAGGAAGTGAAACTGGATGATAACGAAAATGTATATGAAAAGGTCCTGGGTATGTATTGGGACACGCAAAACGATAAACTTACATTTAAAATCAACATTCCCAATTTAGTAATGTTGGAACCGACAAAAAGACAAGTGTTGTCTTTTATTATGAGTGTGTATGATCCTCTTGGGTTAATCGCACATATAACAATCGAATCTAAAATAATAATGCAAGATTTATGGCGACGTGGTATAGACTGGGATGATAAAATTCCCGATGACATAAATAAGACTTGGCAAACCTGGATTAATAGATTGTCTTCCTTATCTAAGATAAAAATCCCAAGATGTTACTCTTATTTTAAAGGCGTGATACGTCGAGAACTTCATGTTTTTTGCGACGCCTCACTGAACGCTTTCGCTACTGTTATATATATGAGAACAGTAAGCAAAGACGGCATTGATGTAACGATTGTTGCTGCCAAATCAAAGGTTGCTCCCACGAAAATAATGTCAATACCTCGTTTAGAACTACAAGCTGCTGTATTAGGGACAAGATTATCTAATACAGTACAGAGAGCATTAAGACTACAAATAGACCAGGTTATATACTGGTCCGATTCAAAAACAGTCATAAGTTGGATCAAATCTGAATTAAGAAAGTTCAAACAATTCGTTCAATACCGTGTTAGTGAAATCCTCGAAAGCACCGTTGAATCACAATGGAAATATATTAGTTCAGCAGCAAACCCGGCTGATGAAGGAACTAAAGTAAGGCAATCGAAATCGTCTTGGATTGAAGGACCCGCGTTTTTGAAGCTGGACGAGAAACATTGGCCATCCGTGAATGGGGACAATCATAGTTCAGACTTAAGTCATGAAGAATTACGTCCCGTACATTCAATAAAGAGCATAAGCAAACCAAATTTAGATTGGCTGAACGTTAAATGGTGTTCGGATTGGGACCGTTTAAAGAGGTCTGTATGCATTACAATAAAATACATAGAGTGGCTTAGGTCTAAAACAAACAAAGAATTGAGATTCGATAAGACCATCAGTGCTGTTGATATGGAAAGGGCAGAAATTTTGCTGATTCTGAAAACTCAATGGGATGCATTTCCAGATGAGTTAACGGAACTCAATGTTAAACAGACGGTTGACAAATCTAGCAAAATACGAACGCTAACACCATTCCTAGATCAAAATGGTACAATAAAATCAGAAACACGATATAAGGATGCAGAGTGCGTTCCTTATGCGGCTCGATATCCTTACATACTTCCAGCAAAGCATCATGTAGTTGATTTAATATTGAAAAATCAACATGAACAGTTTAAACATAAAAAATTAAGGCTACGATAGCAGCAGTGCAACAAAAATATCATATTATCCAAATAGATGCTGGAATGAAGAGGACAATAAAAAAATGTCAACATTGTAAAAATGAAAATGCGAAGATAAATACCCCTAAAATGGCACCTCTACCTGAGTGTCGATTGCAACCGTTCGTGAAACCATTCACCCATACCGGAGTAGATTACTTTGGGCCGTACAATGTGTCCATCGGACGAAGAACAGAAAAACGATGGGGAGCATTGTTTACATGTATGACAACAAGGGCAGTATATCTTTAAATAGCCCATGATCTGTCTGCAGATGCATTTTTATTATGCTTGAACTCAGTGCAGAACAGACGAGGCAGAATAAAATTCCTTTATAGCGACAACGGTACTAATTTTGTAGGAGCTGACAATGAACTAAAAAAGATTCAGCACAGACTTGCGTCAAGAGGAATTGAATGGCATTTCAACCCTCCATCATCTCCACACTTTGGTGGAGCATGGGAAAGATTGGTTCAAGAAGTTAAAAGTCTTTTACCAAATCAAACTATGCCAGAACACACATTCCGTGCGTTATTAACAGAAATCGAAAATATAATAAATAGTAGACCTTTGACGAAAATATCTTTAGATGCCACGGATGACGAATCACTCACTCCAAACCACTTCCTAATTGGTTGTGCCGGCGGTGCCGAACCATCATTGAATGATGTGTCGAAGGCAGAGGCCACTAGACAACAATGGAAGAAAGTGCAGTCTATGGCTAAAACTTACTGGGATAGGTGGTTACACGAATACCTTCCTTCATTAGCCAAAAGAACAAAATGGTCGGAAGCTGTGAAAAATGTAAAGGAAGGAGACATCGTTATGATAGGTGATGATCAAAAGGCAAAGTGGAAAAAGGGAGTTGTTTTGAAAACACATGTAGGCAAGGATGGTCAGGTAAGATCGGCTGTTGTGAAAACAGCCTCTGGAGAATACACTCGACCAGTAGTCAAATTGGCTATTATGGATGTTGAGCCGCCAGGCGAAGCTTCTTCAAATGAAGACAATAAAAAAGAACAAGTAGCATCAAAACGGGTGTTGAAACACCAAGATGTTGAAACTAGCATTAAAAAAGATTGCTTTGTGGGAATGATACACAAAGTAAATGACGAAACACTCGCGGAATAACGATCATATATAAGTAAACCTAGAAGGATTTACGGGCTCCGGAATGTTACCGCGAGGCAATTAATTTAAAACCAAAACCATAAGATAACCACATAGTTGCATCTCGTTTGCATAGCCCTAGCTGACGTTGTTACCAAGGCCAAGAATATGAAATGAAAAGTAGGGCAAAAGGAGCGAGAGCTCGTTTTACATAATCTAACTGCAGTATTTACTTAGGAACGTTTCTGCGTTCAAGTAGGATAAACACGCCCACGCATGGCATGCTTGCGCATCTAGGTTACGTTTAGCTTTCCCTCTCTGTTTATCCTTAACGATATAATTATAATGTTTAAACGTTACAAATGTCTCATTCTTATTTGTAGAGCCATATCAGATCTGAGTTACAAAAATAAATAAACTTACAAGATATCTGAGAAATCCCAGATCTGAGAGGGCATAGTATATAAGGTCTAAACAACACAAATTTACCCTTTCAAGGGCGATCGGAATCCTAGCTTATTAGAATAGGCAAATTAGGTTAAAGTTCGGTATTGAAAGGGATATGTTAAACCCTGGACAAATCATGTAAAAGTTTTACATAATTATAAGTTGCTAATGCAACACGTAGCCGTAAGATCACTTTGTACAATTTTGTTGAATAAAATTAAGTTTCGTAGGTTACTCCAGATTCTTCTCTTTTTGAATCCGAAAGAACTTTCGGCCTAGAAGTGAAAACTTCTCTCCTTAACCGGAGAAAAAAGTAGCTCCTAGAAGAACTCTTGACTTGGAAGTGAAAACTTCTCTCCTTAACCGGAGAAAAAAGTAGCTCCTAGAATCGAGAAACAGTGTCTGACCTAGTAAGCGAAAGACTCTCCCTAACCGGAGAAGAAAGTAGCTTTTGGCGGCGACACTATGTGACTACTGCCGCGGTAATCATGGCTCGGACTCAATAAGGTGAAGCGGGAATCTGCATACACAGAAAAAAAGTTGTTGAATATTACATCCAAGCTGCTGCAACCAGGTCAATCCATCGGTCGTGTAATATAACGATGTACATCGATTTTGCGAACAAAATTACATCCATTGATGTAATATTGTATCTGCTTTTTGCTATTACATCATTATTTCATACATCAGCTTGAATTACATTGACCGATATTAATTTTTTTGTGCTGTGTACTTGTTAAGCTTTTTTGATTTAATTTATCTTTGAGTGTAAAGCAGATTTGTTAATTTAAATCCAGTCCAGTGATAAGGCCTATTGACCAATGCACGGAATGAACTCACGAAAAAAATTGACCACTTTGTCAAGCAGTTTTGACGGGACTTTCTACCAGCGATTTTACAAAACTGGACCAACTAATTTCTATTTTTTTGTGAAACGCACAAATGTTGGCTACTTTTCTCGAGGTTCTAGAAGAAAAAATCTTAAAATAATGTTTCATTTCAAAGTTCGAGTGGTAGTAAACGTCATTTTATCTGCTCGAATGAAGTGGTTAATTAACCATTTCATTCGAGCAGATAAAATGACGTTTACTACCACTCGAACTTTGAAATGAAACATTATTTTGAGAGTTTTTCTTCTAGAACCTCGAGAAAAGTAGCCAACATTTGTGCGTTTCATAAAAAAATAGAAATTTGTTGGTCCAGTTTTGTGAAATCGCTGGTAGAAAGTCACGCCAAAACTGCTTGACAAAGTGGTCAATTGAACACATTTGGGAAAACTTTTTTCTGTGCTGGTCATGAAACTGCTCGAATTATCTTACTTTTCGTCTTTCTTCATCGATGCGCCCCTCATCGTTTCACGATCTCCGGTGTGTTCATCCGGTTCATCCGCGAGCCGAACGTCATTTACATCATTCTTTCTCTTTTCTTCCTTCGACGGCTCTCGATCGAGCGACGAGGACGATTTTTGATGTTTTGGCAGTGTCATCGGAAATCAGAAAGACAAAAGCATTAAATTTCTCGCAAGGCCGCCGGACGCACACCGACCGAAGAAGATTGATACCACTTTTTTTTTTGCGGCGGAGTAAAATTGCAAAACCTGCTCGCCAAACCGAGAGAAACTGCGATTTTCTAATCCTGTAGGAAGTAGTGGTCGTTTTCCCGGTAGTATTTTGTTCGAAGCAGGGTTCCTGTTACGTTGGACGAGAATAGCACAAGAGAAAAAGAGGATGGCGGACACATCTGCAGTCGGAGGAGCCGATTGGATCAAAAAGGCGGAGGACCAGGAAATTTCGACTCTGGTGAGTGGTTGTTCTGGTCTTTTCTGGGTGGTGGATTTGTTGGTTTGATATTACGACGACGGTTTTTTTTTCGGTTCAGGTGAACGAATTAAACCTTGATAAGGAAAAGAAGGAAGTCGTCGAAAGTCCTAAGAAGGAGGTTGCGGCGGAGAAAGCGAGCGAAGAAACAGCGACCACAGAGGCGACGGGCTCCAGCACAGTTGTTACGGTTACTGCTGCACCATCGGAGCCGGCAACAGCGGTAAAAGAGGAAACAGCTACCAGTGAAAATGGAGAATCCGTGCCCTCCAGTGAAGATGCGGAAGCTTTCAAGTGAGTTGTGATTAAAGGGATTGGAGTGTTTTTTGGGAAGGAAAGTTGATGGTATTGTTGTTTTCAGTCCAGCGGATGCGAGTCTGCTGATGAAGATCATTCGTAAAGGTTTGGTGGAATCGAAGTTGGACCTGGAAGTACAGCGAAAGGATCCCTCTTCGCCGCTGTATTCGGTAAAAACATTCGAAGCTCTGCACCTGAAACCGGAATTGCTGCAGGGAGTGTACGCTATGGGTTTCAATGCGCCGTCCAAGATTCAGGAAACGGCCCTGCCAACTCTGTTGGCCGATCCACCGCAGAACATGATTGCTCAGAGTCAATCGGGAACGGGTAAGACGGCTGCCTTCGTGTTGGCCATGCTCAGTCGGGTGGACCCTCGAAAGAACTATCCTCAGGTGATTTGTCTATCGCCGACGTACGAGTTGGCCATTCAAACCGGAGAGGTAGCGGCCAAGATGGCAAAGTTCTGTCCGGAGATCAAGCTGCGCTACGCCGTCCGAGGGGAGGAAATTGCCAAGGGAGCCAAACTGACCGATCACATCATTATCGGGACGCCGGGCAAGCTCATGGATTGGGGTATCAAGTTCCGGGCGTTCGATCTGAAGAAGATTATGGTGTTCGTGCTGGACGAGGCGGACGTGATGATTGCTACCCAGGGCCACCAGGACCAGTGCATTCGGATACATAAGCAGCTGTCGTCGCAATGTCAGATGATGTTCTTCTCGGCCACGTACGAGCGGGAGGTGATGGAATTTGCTGAATACATCGTACCAAATCCGATTGTGATTCGCTTAGCTCGGGAACAGGAATCGCTGGACAACATTAAACAGTACTACGTCAAGTGCCGCAATCAGGACGACAAGTATCAGGCGATTTCGAACATCTACGGAGTAATTACCGTCGGACAGGCGATCATCTTCTGTCACGTAAGTGTTCGGGGGGTGGGTGGATAAGATCGGAAAATCGAATTACGGTGTTAACATTACAGACTCGCAAAACGGCCAGTTGGTTGTCCGGCAAGATGTCCCAGGACGGCCACTCGGTTGCGGTCCTTTCCGGTGAGCTGACGGTGGAACAGCGACTAGCTGTTCTGGACCGTTTCAGGGCTGGACTCGAGAAGGTTCTGATCACAACGAACGTCCTCTCTAGGGGTATCGACGTCGAGCAGGTTACCATCGTGGTCAATTTTGACCTACCCATGGACCAGCACGGTCGGGCGGATTGCGAAACCTATCTGCATCGTATCGGACGCACCGGTAGATTCGGTAAGTAGTTGGCGCAAAACCGATTGAACATGCGAAATTTGATCCTAACCCCTTTCTCCCTAACAGGCAAGAACGGTATCGCCATCAACTTGGTCGATAGCGATAGGAGCATGTCGATTTGTAGGGCGATCGAAGGACATTTCCACAAGAAGATCCATCTGCTGGATGCGGAGAATTCGGACGAAATCGAAAAGATCGGATCCTAATCGCTTTTCTCCGTACTGCTCCGTGTTATTTTTGGTTAATCCTATGTTCCCAAGCGCCTACGAATTCATTTTTGGCTATCTGTTCCTATGACAAGAGCGGTTAGATAGAGTTTATATTTTACCTACTACAACTTGCTTGAGTGCCAGTTGGGACGATTCAATTGGACTATTTGCATTTTTCCTCCCTCTAATGACACATTCAGAAAGATCGACCTTGATTAGTTATCAAATGGCATAAGTACTGCACTGAAGCAAGGAACTATAAAACTATGCAGAACGAAAGTTTTAAACGATTTCACCCGTTTCATTTATGCCGAATGTCAGATTAAATTTATTGCAGATAACAAATGGAGAGGATAGATAAGAGCTGAACAAATATAGACATCTTAACGACGTCCATTCGATTTGAATCATTCATTTTGTGTGCGTTTCTGTATCCAATATGTTAGCGGAAGGCATGGGCGTAGCCAGAGGGGGGCAACACACTTTTTTTCAGGTGATGATCGGGAACCACCGCTCCTCAACCCGGGCAGAAGAAACTGGAGTCCCATAGGGATCCGTCATAGCGGTCACCATCTTCTTGGTCGCCATGAATGGAGTCTTTGGGGTTCTACCAAAAGGAATATACATATTTGTATATGCAAACGACATCGCACCCTCAAGGCTTTGCGAAGGAAGTTACAAGCTGCTGTATCAGCCACCACAAGATGGGCCTGTATTTGAATTATCCGCAGAAAAAAGCGTGGTTTCCCACCTATGCCACTCCCGTCATCGCCCGCTACCAACAGCCATCATTGCGAACAATATTCCAATACCCAACAAGAAGACCATTCTGGTTCTTGGTGTACGCTTGGACCGGGAGCTGAGGTTCGACGCACATTTCAATGAGAGCAAAGCCAACTGCCGCACGCGGCTAAACCTCCTCCGGACACTTTCCAAACCACACCGGAGCAGTAACAGAGAGATTCTACTAAAAGTGGCCAAAGCCACCGTAAACAGTAGATTATTCTACGGGATCGAACTGTTCTGCCTTTCCAACGACCTCTCTTACCACACGACTAGGCCCAACGTATAACCAGGCAATCAGGACTTCTGCCTTCAACACCGGCTGAATCGGCATGCGTCGAACTCGGTGTATTACCGTTTCATTGGGGCTTATTACGGATGTCACTTCACGGTGAAAACTTGTCACTTGTCGTCACGGTGAAGTGATTACCACTTGATTTGTACGGCATCACTTCCTTATCACCGTGTAGTGACACCCGTAATAAGGCCCAATACCAAGTCGCCGAAACGCTGAGCTGCAGAACGACCAGCTACCTGGAAAAGACCACCGGGAACCACGAGGCCTTTCTCCTTAGGGAGGGGAACAGAGCTCTCGGAAACTTGGTCCATCAGGAGCTCCCACCCGTGTCCAGGGTACACTGGAACGGAGCCAGATGATGGACAGAACCAACCATACGCGTTGACCTTTCAATTGCCAAGCGCTTCAAGGCAGGTAACAACTCCCGTGCCATGCAGGCCCACGTAGCGGAGCGCAAATACGCAAATTTTCAACACCGTTACACGGACGGATCTAAGGCCGTGGGGAAAGTCGGATTCGGAGTAGCGGATGTATCCAATAGTTACTTCTTTCGACTACCCGATCAGTGCTCCGTCTTCTCGGCGGAGGCTGCGGCCATCCATTTCGCCACCACGACACCCGCCAATGTCCTAACAGACTCCGCCAGCGTTTTATACGTCTTGAATTCAGCAACATCCAGACACCCCTGGATACAAGGGATCCAAAAGGCCGCGCCGTCGAACACCTCATTTGTATTGCGGTATCCGGGGCAACTGTGAAGCAGATAATCTCGCTGCCACAGGTCGCTCCGGCCGGATGGCCACCACAGTTGTACCCAGTCCGGACGTAAAAAAATGGGTGAAAGCATCCCTCCGAGACGCCTGGGCCCGGGAGTGGTTCGCAAAAAGGGGACCGTTCCTTAGAAAATTAAAGGGCGACACTCGATGAACAACTTATGAGTGTTATGTCTGTTTGTCTGTGGTAAAAACGTGAGAGTATTTTAAGCGTGTATATCATGGAGATTTCAAGAACTTAAAACATCGCGAAAATTAAGCTAAATTGATTAGAGAAAATCAACGAAATTCCATTAATTTAAAAAAAGCATGCGAAAACTTTTAGCAAGCAGTGATATCTTCAAGAAATTCCAAAGAACTTCTAATAAATTTTGATACTTTTAGATAGTTTCATGATATTTAGTGAAGTTCCGAGTACTTCAAGGACGATCAGATAGCTTCAGAATAATCCCATTAACTTAAGCAAATTTGCAGAGATTTACAAAGAGTTCCGTGGAATGATGGGGTATTCTATGAATTCTATGCACGAAACGAAAATCAATTATTTTATTTACTTATTTATCAATACGAAACTAACGATTTTAAATTGGCTCACCATTAGCTTGGGACCGAAGAGAGTACCAGAGCTGAGCCAAAAAGTTGAGCACGTTTCTCGGGACCTTCTGGTCTTAGAGTTACCTCTATGCTTTTAGGGCGGTTCAATTAAATCAAAGATGAATACTAAGATGAAACTGTCGGAAGAAAAACTTTCTATTTTAGTGTCCTCTTTCACGGTCCCTTTCATCCAATGAGAACCCCCCGTATTCAAGGTAATTTTGTGGTTTTGCTGCCCCCTCGGAAGAGATGAAATTTTGCGCTCATTTTTATCAAAACAATCACACCAAAATCAGAGGTGTCCAATTTTTTAATTACTTTTTAAACACCCCTCACCATCCCTCTCCAAAGGGGGAGTTTGGTAAAGAGAGATGAAAAAACCGATTTGTACCTTCCTTAAAAGTTGTTCTAGCTCGCTATTCTAATATCTATATGCAATCTTCACACTGCCGTACTCTAACGGAACTATCAACTCTATGCTTTCATCTACTCCATCTATCGTATAAAAATTACCACTACAGTCTGTTATTTGAAATTAGCATCTTCAACTCCTTTTAGTATTTTCAAAAAAGATTCCAAGGACTTGTACTCCAGATTCGTTTCATCCCACAAACACAAAATTATCCTCAGAAGGGCCTTGGAATTTTGCTCTGAAGGAGTTATGCTCCTCAGAAATTTTCAGAGTTTTCATTAAACTTTGCTTCTAATTGAATTTAGGGTTTCTTGAAATTCTACTCGAAATTCTCAGGCTTTACAAGAAATCTAATATTCCTCAGAACTACCTTAAAAGCAGATTGCATTTGATGTTTTTTCTGAAAGATTTTTTTCCCAGAACTTCCTTGAAATGAGGTCCTTAGAAATTATATTCAAATTCCACGAGCATGGATTTTGAATCCAGATTCTTGAAAATTTCTTGATGTATTATAGCTTTTAAGTCCAGAACGAGTTCAAATGTAAAATTTCTAGGAAATGAAAATGAATGAAAATAACGAGTAAAATTAAATGCTTGTATTTTAAAATTCATTCTTTTCTTTAAAATATCCTTAGCAAGAAAATTATTAAATTCTCAGAGGCTTCCAGGTAGTTTATGGAAAAATAAAATCCCCGGTTTTCCAGGTTTTTGCAGTTAGTAGACACCCTAATACCGTGGGTTTGGCCATAAACTTTCTATTGAATATTTCGCTTTCAAGGTTCATATCGTTCAAAGGTGTTTATTGTTATGTACGGTAACTGATCACTACTATGTGATTTGATTAATTATTAAGGATTAACTAGTGTTAATCAATCTTTCTTCTTAACTTAAATAAAAGCTCAACGATGCAGATTGGATTCAACTCCGTCTCTTTCAACGGCTCATGCTAGACTCGCCTAGCTCTTTATTCTGGACTCTCATCTCGAGTCTCTTTTTGTATCTTGATTGATTACACTCTAAATCATTAATTACTCTGAACAGGGTAGATACTACAGTTCTCCCTTCTTAAGAAAAAACAAACAGTCTAAATTTCCAATTACATAAATAAACACGAAGAATTCAATAATTCAAAACACTTCGAATTCAATTCCGTTGATGATGCAGCTGCAGCATGTTCTTGCTTAACTTTGTTGAACAATTCAATAATCCAATTCATTTTAACACATCGAATTCAACTCGTTGAAGATGCAGCCTCAGCCTTGTCTTGCCTAGCTGAGTTGCACAGTTCTCGACCGCGTGCAGATGGGACTTCTAGCTCGTCTGATCTTCTTGCTCTCGTGGATGTCTTCTGGTCTCGGGAGGTCCGAGAATCCGTGGAAATCTTCTTCATCTTCGATCGAATCCCTCTTACGCTTGTTCGTTGTGCTGGTTGGAAGGCGTACCACAGCTCTGTTTCGCTTGGATTCGTAAGCAGCCTTCAACTGTTGTCTGTGCGCGTTCGTCTTGTGCTTACCGATCAGAATCTGGAAAACATTATCAGACATTCGTTTTACAAATACAGCCTCCAGCCATCTCGGAAATTTATTAACATTTTCATAAAATAGCTTATCCCCTGCCACAAGCTTATCCAAATCATTCCGAGGTACATTTGAGGGTGCTTTTTGTTTCTCTTCTTCTAGTACAGGATTTTTAGAATTTTGCTCGGCAATTCTCATATAGTGTTTGTACGTTTTGTTTGGATTAAACAAATCCAGCAACATTTTAGGCTTATATGAGAGCATTTTCTCGGAAGGAAATGTACCCTCTTTTCCAGAACAACTATTTCTATAGTTTATTAAAAATAAATTTAGTTTGTCATCAATTTCTAAAGACTTGGTTTTATTGTCAAGTAAAAACTTTTTAAGAACCTCCTTAGCAACCCTCACCATCCTTTCAGCTTGACCATTACTGGCGGGGTGGTAAGGAGGACTTTTAAATACCTTAATGCCATGCTTCTCCAGAAATCCAACAAATTCATGTGAGTTAAATGGTGGTTCACCATCGGTGACTACCACATCAGGTAGACCAAATCTTGCAAATATTGAAGCGAATTTCTTGTTTACAATTCTTGCAGTCGTACCTGTACGCATCCATTCGACCTCAAGCCATTTAGTGTGACTATCAACAACCAAAAGAAAGTTGTTTCCTGCCAGGTAAAAGAAATCTGCATGCAGACGACTAAAAGGGCGAGTAGTTGATATCCAAGACCCAGTTGCCTCTGGTTGCGTAACCAATTCCATTTTAGCACAGGAATCGCAGGATTTAACGAAATCTTCTATGTCCGAGGTTAGTCCTGGCCAATACACTGTCCTCCGGGCCAAAGTTTTCATCTTCACCATTCCCTGATGGTTTGTGTGCAATAAATTCAAAACACCTTCTCTCAAAGAATAAGGAATTACAACCTTATCTTCTATCATCAATACATAATCAACCAATTCTAATTTTGACTTTTGCGCATGAAAGTCCCTATATTGCGT